TCACCTGCACAGCTTGCACAGTGTTTCACCTGCACAGCTTGCACAGGCTGATTCACCTGCACAGCTTGCACAATGTTTCAACTGCACAGCTTGCACAGCCTCTTTCACCTGCACAGCCTGTTTCACTTGCACAGTTTGCACAGTCTGTTTCACCTGCATAGTCTTTCACTTGCACAGCCTGTTTCACCTGCACAGCCTGTTTCACTTGCACAGCCTGTTTCACCTGCACAGCTTGCACAGTATTTCACCTGCACAGCTTGCACAGTTTCACCTGCACAGCCTGTTTCACCTGCACAGCTTGCACAGGCTGATTCACCTGCATAGCCTGTTTCACTTGCACAGCCTGTTTCACCTGCACAGCTTGTTTCACTTGCACAGCCTGTTTCACTTGCACAGCCTGTTTCACTTTCACAGCATGCACAGCCTGTTTCACCTACACAGCCTGTTTAATTTGTACAGCTTGCACAGCCTGTTTCACATGCACAGCTTGCACAGCCTGTTCCACCTGCACAGCTTGCACAGTGTTTCACTTGCACAGCTTGCACAGTGTTTCACCTGCACAGCATGCACAGGTTGTTTCACCTGCACAGCTTGTTTCACTTGCACAGCCTGTTTCACTTGCACAGCCTGTTTCACCTGCACAGTCTGTTTCACTTGCATTGCCTGTTTCACCTGCACAGCCTGTTTCACCTGCACAGCTTGCACAGTTTCACTTGCACAGCTTACACAGTGTTTCACTTGCACAGCTTGCACAGGTTTCACCTGCACAGCTTGCACAGTCTGTTTCACCTGCACAGGCTGTTTCACCTGCACAGCTTGCACAGTGTTTCATCTGCACAGCTTGCACAGTGTTTCACTTGCACAGTGTTTCACTTGCACAGTCTGTTTCACCTGCACAGCTTGCACAGTGTTTCACTTGCACAGTCTGTTTCACCTGCACAGCTTGCACAGTGTTTCACCTGCACAGCTTGCACAGTGTTTCACCTGCACAGCCTGTTTCACCTGCACAGCTTGCACAGCCTGTTTCACTTGCACAGTCTGTTTCACCTGCACAGCTTGCACAGTGTTTTACCTGCACAGCCTGTTTCACCTGCACAGCTTGCACAGTCTGTTTCCCCTGCACAGCCTGTTTCACCTGCACAGCTTGCACAGTCTGTTTCACCTGCACAGCCTGTTTCACCTGCACAGCTTGCACAGTCTGTTTCACCTGCACAGCTTGCACAGCCTGTTTCACTTGCACAGCTTACACAGCCTGTTTCACTTGTACAGCTTGCACAGCCTGTTTCACTTGCACAGCTTGCACAGCCTGTTTCACTTGCACAGCTTACACAGCCTGTTTCACTTGTACAGCTTGCACAGCCTGTTTCACTTGCACAGCAAACATAAAAGGTCCTATTGTATTTAAACTCTTACGAGTTTAAATGCAACAGGACCTTTAACTTACTCAGCACTTTAAATATAAATTATGAAACTTATCATAAATTTGCTATCATTACCAATTTGCTGTTAATAAGTCCCAGACAGACTGCCATGTTGTACCCTGGCAATAACTCGAGCCTCAAGCCAAGGAGCAACCCAAGCAAATAAACACAATGACAAATATGAGAGGGTAGATTTCTAGTACAGTGGACTCTCGAATTTAGTCCTGCCTTTTCTGTATGCAAAAACTATTTTTATCTATAAAATGTATTTTTTGTTAATATTTTTGGGTGTCTGGAATGGTTTAATTAGATTTACATTATTTCCTATGGAAAATATTAACAAAAAATACATTTTATAGATAATAAAAATAGTTTTGCATACAGAAAAGGCAGGACTAAATTCGAGGGTCCACTGTACTTGTATATTCCTTTCAAGATATTTACAGCATGTGCAGTGTTGGCATTATCAGCAGAACAGAAATAATGATGAGTGAGAGAGAGCAAATAGCCACTCACTATTGCAGGTTTTACACCACAAGATACACCAGTGTGTATGAGTGTATGTAAGCCAGCCAGCCAAAAGGGAAAGCATAACCTCTACTCAGCAGGGAGTAAGCTCTCACACTAATGGTTGGTTTGAACTGAACAGTCTGCCAGAGCAGCAGGACCCCTAAATAAACTGCTCCAGCCTAACTGCCAGTTAGTCTGGTCCAGAGGGCATGACAATGGACATGTGATGAATGCTGAATAAATTTTAACATAGTGCATGCTACAACTTAGTTACTGTAAACAGAACAAACTTCACCTTTAACCCTTGAAGGATACCAATCCCCGATCTGAAACCTGTCCACAGGATCCAAGAATTTTCAAAAAACTGTTTTGCTATTTTTTCTTATAAAATGGTAGAGAATCTTTTTCTGAAGGTAATAAAACAAAAAGTATGAAATTTTGTGGAAAATTTACGAAATTACACTATCGTGAATTTTCCTGTGTCAGTGATATTTATGAATCAGCATTGTAATACTTATAGAGAATAAAGTTTGAATTGAATTGAATCAGCGATTTTTCCCTACTTTGAATCCTATTTTAAGTCAATCACATTGCTCCAGCTGACCAAATTATTAGCTATTTCACTAGTATGCCTTCCATTTTATTGACTGAATGCAAGAAACTGCCTAATCAACTATTTCAACTACCCAATAAAGTGACAAGAACCTGGTAATTTTCCTAATTTCGCACAAATTTCAAAATATTCCAATTTCAAAATAGGGTCCAGAATAAACAATGCAGGCATTCCTAGCACTAAAATAACATTTCCTCTGTTCATTAGTTATGTTCCCAGACTTCACACATGAATTCCATTTTTATTTTTTATTCACATCAAAAACAGAAGATTTATTGTTATGCAATGCTGTAATAAATGTATAAAAAACATCAGGGTATCCACTAGCTGAGAGGTATTGGACGTGTGACATCATTTGTTTACTCTTGAGCGTCGGCAAAAATAGAACATATCCGCTACTTAGAGCTCATTTTCACATTAGTTTCTGTCCTAAAACCAAACAAAATCATCTCTATTTCTATATCTTCCACTCATTCAAATGAGACCAAGAAACCAAGACTACCACCATGAAAACCATATGAAAATACACAACAACATCTCTGTTTTAAGCCAAAAATAAGGTCACAGTTTTTTTTCATTATGCACTACATACTGCAGAATTTTTCCATATGGTGCACACATACCACACAGACCCATTCTCTCATACCTAGGCCCAAATTTACTGCTCACAGCTTAGCTGAGCGAGCTGAGCTCATGGCATAGAACTATGGCACAGACACTGGCTTCAAAGTCATAGAACTATGGCACAGACCTTCAAGTGGTTAATATTACACAGCAACTATCATGACAAACATCTCCTTTCATACCAAAAATCATATCCTTCTATAATCCAATTATATGACCTCTGAGTTCAGCACTTTACTGTGATTAAAAATTAAAATGTAATCCAAATAATTCAAAACTGTTAACCCCTAAACTGTCCAAACTTTGATCTATGTTCTCCCTGATAATATTGTGTATACACAGTGCTACAGTGTTTACCACAGTGGCACCGTAGTATACAGATAATAAATGCTAAGTGTCATTTAAAACAGGTGTAATTGTAACTTAAGTGATAGGCTTAAAGAGGCAGGTGCCAGAAGTCGCCAGAAACCTACCACACAGGTCTGCTGTTTTAATAATCTTCCTAGCATGCTAGTGTACCTCGCATATAATCTAGTGATTACCAGTGGGAAAATTTTTCCTTTTAAATTACGATAAATTGCAAAATCTTGAGTAAATACGAAAAGTGTACAGTTTTGTAAAATACAATATCAGTGAAGGTTTACTATAATAAGATTATTTAACATCCAGAAACCTTACCAGATTATTTAACATCCAGAAACCTTACCACAGTGTTGTAGTAGCAATTAACCAGTAATAAAATGGTACTTAGTGGGGTGGAGTGACCATCATTAGTTTTTTCTTCATTCTTGAAATACTAGATGTATACAGTGGAAATTCATATAACCTGTAGTTAGCAGCGGTCGCAATATACACAATGAAAAGCAAATATTACTCCAGCAAAAGCGACTTTCCTAAAATAAACTTCATCAGCCAACTATAGAAATAACATAGCATTTGTTGTGGTGGAGACAGAAAAAATCTAGAAAAGCTAAATATGTACAGTGATCTATAAACCTTCAGGCTGTAAATAAGGGTTGAGGTCTCGACCGTTCATCATTACAGGAGCTGCCAGCAATCGCCGTTTCTCCAACATGCAAGTTATACTTTTGTATCAATCTAATCACATATTACATGGTTAAATAATTTCCAGTAGTTCCTTCATGTGTTAGCCCAAATCACAGACCAGATATGTTTTAACCCTTTGACTGTCGCAAGCCCCTTTTTGAACCTGTCATTCTATGTCGATAAATTTTTGGAAAAAAAAAAAAAATTTCTTATGAAATGATAGAGAATCTTTTCCCAATGGTAATGACACCAAAAGTACGAAATTTGGTTGAAAATTCACGGAATTACGCTCATGCGAAGTTAGTCTTGGCGACATATATGCATTGGCGACTTCCACATGTTAGAACTTTTTCCTCGCCTATTCTTCTTATACTCCTTGACTATAAGTCTTGGTATGGGGGAGTGTGAGGAAAAAGTTCAACAGATAGGAGTAGCGAGTGAGTATATGATAACGATAGTTTGATTGCCGCTGCTTTGTTAAGGTAGGGTAAGTCTAGCTACCCACTATCCCCCCCCTTTTTCCCCCATCCCGAAAGGTGACGTGTGGGCTCCGGCCAAACAAGTAATCACTCGACTCACAGCTCCCAACACAACTGTAAGTACAAGCCTGCTCCTATTCTAGTGGACTTATTGGTTGAAAGCTTCACTTTTGACCAATAATAAACTTAGTCCTTTCGGCCTTGATCTCCATGTTAGATGTTTTGATAATCACCAAGTCTTTTAGGTATTGTACTTATCATGGAGAGTGATTTCTTAAGCAGTGGGTAACCTTTCTCTCTTTCCAGCTTGGAATGACAGATCGGGTCACCTGCCAACCAACGAGAAGTGTTGAAGGAAAAGGACTTTTGCTAAAGTCCGGAGACGTCACATGTTGGATCTACCTACCTGATTAATTTTAGGCGACAGCAGACCATAACCCCTCATCTTGGTAGTGGTAAAGAATCTGCTTTCCTGTCATCTGGACTGACTATTCAAGGGTATAGACTCTGTGAAGAACTAGCCGTTGGGTTGTCACCAACACCTGTGACCCCTCCCACCCCACATCATCAGCAACGGCTACGATTTCTACAAGACTGTCAACCTCAACCAGACACCCCATTATAACTGTACATATTAGCATTGAATTCAAATGTCATTTTTTCATTTCATTTTTCATTTTTCTTTCAAATAGGATACACCTTCATGTTTCACTTTTTTATTTTTGCATTAATAAATAATAAAGTGTTTATCTTCGTGAATTATTATTTCTTTTTCTATTCATCAATTTTCCTGAGGAGGAGCCAGCCTCGGTAATACTGTCTGAAGTTGTTACAGGGCTGAGTAAGCCTTCACATGGTAGAATTCCACTTTCAGAGTCATCAAAGTGGTGGGGCTTGGAAACAAAATTGGAATTTTGCTGCCAATCCCAGATACGGTTTTCTGGTGAATACTGGACATCATAGGCTGGTTGTGCTGGTAGTTGTGGTTGTGGTGGGCTGGTGGCAGGCGCTCTGCTTTGTCCTTGAACTGCGGAGTCAGCAGCGTGGGTCAAAGCCTGGGCTGGTGAGTCACGCATGACCGTGGCACTACCATCACCACTACCACCATCTACTGATGCTTGTGGTCTATCCATGCCAAGTGTAGCCACATCATCCTCACTGTCACTATCTATACCTGGTGTAGGGCCACAGGATGTACTCCGGGATGTACTCCATCCCTTGGGCATGGCATAGGGTACACTACCCGAGCACATGCAGCAAGGTACATACAGACGCTTCACTGGTGAATATGATTCCTCACTACCACTACTTGAATGATTGTCAAGAGCAATAAAATCACAATCCACGTCACTATCATCATCATTACTGAAGTCAGAGGCCTGGCCACGCAAAAATAATAGTTTTCTCTTGCATTGAGGTACAACCAACCGTGACTGAGGAGTGCCCACACCAGAGGTAAAAGGTTGAGGATCATCAGGGTTTTCTGCACTATTATCGATATCCTGGTCATTCCTTTCGGTCACTAACTGATCAAAGCCAAAGAATTCCTCTTCATTTCCACTTCCATCACTGTCAGAACTATCAGATGGGACAGGAGTGTCCCAATTTTCCTTGGAGTGAGAGCTCCTTCAATGAGGCATGTGAACAAGGTAACTGAGCCGGTGTTCCACAATGCTATGCGAGCGCCTAGATTTTTTGGAGTTTGTAGCGCACACCCACCACACAGACCCGTTCTCTCACATGTAGGCCTATGAGCATTTTTGCGCTAAATTGATGGCACTAGAATTTTGGCGTAGATCTATGGTTTGGACACTCAACGTGAAGCCGTAGATCTACGGGACGGACCCTGAAAGGGTTAATACAGTCATGCGTCGCTTAACGGCTGAGATACATTCTGAGAAATGAGTCGTTAGGAGATTTTATCACTGTGCTAATGTCACAGTGTACTTACACAAACCTAGTTGGTATAGCCTACTACACACCTAGGCTATATGGCATAACCTATAGCTCCTAGGCTACAAACCTTACGGGGCCTATGGCATAGGTGGTTGCAAGTATCAAGAAAAATCTCAAAAAAATATGAAATGAGTAAAGTTCACAGAAAAATCACCCACAAATTTTGCAACATTTTATGACGATGTCATCAGGTAGGATTCGCGTAAATATTACATTGCACAAGAGTTTTTAGACCATTTCATGAGTTTTTATGCATATATATGCTAGTTTTATGAAAAAATACTCCTTGGTATCTCTTCTGAGAGTATAACAACAGTAAAGCATTCACCACTAGTCACCCATGATGCATCGGGTGGCAACCTTACAGTACCCACACTCCTTTACATTGCAATCACTAATAGATGCTTCACATACTTCACAAAGATGGTCTTCACACCTAACTTTATTCTGAATAAATATATTAAGACAGTATGCATATTTTTACTCAACACATACTAAGCCTGAAGTTATTGTTTGCTCTGTTTTTAACCCTTTAACTGTTTCAGCCATATACACATCTCACGAGCCAGTGTTTCGGAAGTATGTACACTCAATAATTCTAGCAGCTTTAAATGAAGCAGGAGAAAGCTGGTAGGCCCACATGTGAGAGAATGGGTCTGTGTGGTCAGTGTGCACCACATAAAAAATAATCATGCAGCACACAATGCATAATGAGAAAAAAAAACTCCGACAATGTTTTTGCATTAAAACGCCGACTCTGAGGTGTATTTTTGTACAGTATTTATGGTTGTATTCTCGTTTTCTTGGTCTATCATAGAATGGAAAATACATTACAGAAATAGAGATGATTTTGATTACTTTCACAATGAAAACGACCTTGAAATTGAGCTCAAAGTAGTGGAGATGTTCGATTTTTACCAATGTTCAAAAATAAGCAAATCACACCACACGTCCAATACACGTCAACTGGGGAGTCTAATATTCTTTCACTGTTGCACTGATATTATTTACACCATTTTTACAATAATGCAGTAGTTTGCATAACAGTAAATCTTCTATTTCTTGTGTGAATAAAAAATCAAAATAGAAAGCAATAATAATAAAAGAGGGGCCTGGAGATGTGACTAATGAACAGAGGATATGTTATTTTAGTGCCAAGAATGTCTGCATTGTTTATTCTGGACCCTATTTTGAAATTGGCATCTTTTAAAATTTGCGTGAAATTGGCCAAATTGCCAATTTCTGACCACTTAATTGGTAGTTGCAATCAGTAAGTGGACAGTTTCTTGACTCAATTGCTAAAAGAATGGAGTTCTAAATAAATAGCTATGAGTTTGATCGACTGGAACAATGGAATTGGCTGAAAATAGGGCTCAAAGTCGGCAAAATCGTCGATGCATATATATCAAGATTGCTAACTTCGCAGGAGCGTAATTCTGTGAGTTTTCGATCAAATTTCGTGCTTTTGGTGTCATTACCAATGGGAAAAGATTCTCTATCATTTCATAAGAAAAAAAAATTTTTTTTTCCCCAAGAATTTTGCGACATAGAATGACAGTTTCAGAAATGGGCTTACAACAGTCAAAGGGTTAAAATAAGTTATAAATGTATTTGTTGCAATAACATCACTATTTATTAACGGATCATCATGAGTTTTACACTATGTTTAGAAAACATTGTTCTACTACTAAAATCTGATTAAATATTGGCAATACTTTTATTCAATTTCCCCTCACATGGTTGAAAATGATGCTCTCAAGAAACACTGTAAACACAAGATGTATAAAGCTACTGCCAAAATAACATGGCACACTGTTTTCCAGTAAACCTTTTTTTTATAAGTAGAAAGAGTTCACTGTAGAATAATGATAAAAAGTACAGTACAGCAAATACATAAACCAGTAACATAGTTGTGTATTATCATTCTCAAATATTACGTACTGTACATAACTGCATGCGCTATACTTTTTTACAACTGGCAGTGCCATTGTATATACCATCGTATGTGCGGTCCATCAATGAGTGAAACATGTGGCGCATGACTTTACCAACTACACCCAACTACTATAATACCTTGTACAACTATGTATCATGTCCTAATAAACTATTACTATTTTAAATTTATTACAACTAAAACACTGAGAAATGTATTGTATGCTCTCACACTGTCTCTCAACCTTGTTGTTCCCATGGCAGTGTTATGCTAGGTTCAATATACCATGCTACTCTTTTGATGAACTTGTTTATATTTGTTGTTATATTCATTAGAATTACTTCTGTTCTATGTGTACCTTTAGTATTTTGGTATACATATTTGGAAAAGTTTTCGTTGAAACCTTGTTACGAGTGTTACCAGAACATAAACCTGTAAATAGTTATTTACCACAGAAACTTAGTTATCTATTAAAACCATGAGGCCCACTCCCTGGACCCATTATGTGCATAATGAAAGTACTAAACTTAAAACTAACAAAGCTTATATTAGAGAAGATTTAGATTATAGCTACAATATTTATCATAGAAGTTATCTTACCTGAATGCCATGAGTAGAATAGAAATCAGCTGTGCCAAGTGATGCATACAGTTTGTATCCCATTTGTGCCAGTGTCCGTACAGCTGGTAAAAGTTCATTTTTGTGCTGAAATAACACCAAGACATTAAGTGCCAAAAATACCAGACTTCATGGAAAAAGAGGTAAAAAATACTCTTATTACATTATTTGAAGATGAAACCAAATTCATGATGTCACAACCTACCCACTCATAGAAAACTTAGTTAAAAGGGAAACACTGCGGAAAGGCCTACGGGGTCCATCCCGAGGCAGGTCCAATTTTCCCCAAAATGGCTTAAGCCAAAAACCCAAACTATTTCAGGTCAAGTCACACCCCAATTAAAGGGAAAGGAGCACGTATCAGACTCAGTAACCAAACTATGGGGCCCAACTCCCCCCCCAATCAAAAATTTAAAACTAACTTTTTTTAAAAAATTATTTTTTGCTACCATAAAGGTAATCGGGGAGTTTGGGGTTTCCCCCAAACCCCCCAACCACCAAACCCATGCTTTCCGTACCCTTTCCTGAATCAAATTTTTTTCCAATTTAAACCCAAATTGCGGGTGAGTCCTTCTTGGTTAGATTTTTTTTAGCAAACTTTTTTCATCCCCTTTTGTTTTTTCCCTTTTTTCCCTTTTTATACATCTCAATCATTTTTTTTTCAACAAGTGGGCCACTCCCCCCCCCGGGCCCGGGGTTTGCCCCAAAAAAGAAAAAAAATCTCCAAAATGAAAAATTTCCATCATTAAAAAATTTCACCACCCAAAACAAAACCCCTTTTATACAGAGATCCCCAGAAAAACCCAGTTCAAAAGCAAATAAAAAGTTTTTTTTTTTTAAATTTTTAAATCCCCGGGCCCGGGAACCCCCACCCAAGGCGGGTGGCCCAAAAAAAAAGAAAAAATTTTCACCATCATTCCCCATCACTGTCTTGCCAGAAGGGTGTTTTAAACACTAGTTTAAAAATGCAACATTTTAAAACCCCTCCTTCAGAGTGCAGGGGACTGTTTCCCCTTCCCCGGACTCAAGTCCGGCCTGCCGGTTTTTCCCCGAAAAACCCCCTTTATAAATGTTAAAATTTGGGCCCCCACTCCCAAAAGGCACGTCAATTTTTTAAAAAAATCTTCTCCAATTCCCCTCCCATCAAACAAAGCTCACCGGGGACGCATGCTGGAAGTCCAAGCCACTCGCAAAACAAAACCCCCTTTACCCCCCCCTCCAACCTTTCCTAGGCCGACCCCCCACCCCGCCTTCCTTCCCCAAACAGACTGATACCCCTCTTGAAAATCCAAATTTTGTTTTTTGTCCATTCTTCTACCAAGGCCAACCAACCTTTAACAAACCCTTTTCCCCACCCTCTGGGAAAAACAGTTTTTTGGGAATCCCGCACCCCCCCTCTAAATTTCAAACTACGAATTTTTCTGCATTAATTCAACCCCCACATAGCCCTCAGACATGACATCTCCACTGCCTCCAGCCTTCTCCTCACTGCAACATTCATCACCCATGCTTCACACCCATATAAGAGTGTTGGTAAAACTATACTCTCATACATTCCCCTCTTTGCCTCCAAGGACAAAGTTCTTTGTCTCCACAGACTCCTAAGTGCACCACTCACCCTTTTCCCCTCATCAATTCTATGATTCACCTCATACTTCATAGACCCATCCGCTGACACGTCCACTCCCAAATATCTGAATACATTCACCTCCTCCATACTCTCTCCCTCCAATCTGATATCCAATCTTTCATCACCTAATATTTTTGTTATCCTCATAACCTTACTCTTTCCTGTATTTCACTTTTAATTTTCTTCTTTTGCACACCCTACCAAATTCATCCACCAATCTCTGCAACTTCTCTTCAGAATCTCAAAGAGCACAGTGTCATCAGCAAAGAGCAACTGTGACAACTCCCACTTTATGTGTGATTCTTTTTCTTTTAACTCCACACCTCTTGTCAAGACCCTCGCATTTACTTCTCTTACAACCCATCTATAAATATATTAAACAACCACGGTGACATCACACATCCTTGTCTAAGGCCTACTTTTACTGGAAATAATTTCCCTCTTTCCTATGTACTCTAACTTGAGCCTAACTATCCTCGTAAAAACTCTTCACTGCTTTCAGTAACCTACCTCCTACACCATACACCTGCAACATCTGCCACATTGCCCCCCTATCCACCCTGTCATACGCCTTTTCCAAATCCATAAATGCCACAAAGACCTCTTTAGCCTTATCTAAATACTGTTCACTTATATGTTTCACTGTAAACACCTGGTCCACACACCCCCTACCTTTCCTAAAGCCTCCTTGTTCATCTGCTATCCTATTCTCCGTCTTACTTTTAATTCTTTCAATAATAACTACCAACACTTTACCAGGTATACTCAACAGACTTATCCCCCTATAATTTTTGCACTACTCTTTTGTCCCCTTTGCCTTTATACAAAGGAACTATGCATGCTCTCTGCAATCCCTAGGTACCTTACCCTCTTCCATACATTTATTAAATAATTGCACCAACCACTCCAAAACTATATCCCCACCTGCTTTTAACATTTCTATCTTTATCCCATCAATCCCAGCTGCCTTACCCCCTTTCATTTTACCGACTGCCTCACGAACTTCCCCCACACTCACAACTGGCTCTTCCTCACTCCAAGATGTTACTCCTCCTTGCCCTATACACGAAATCACAGCTTCCCTATCTTCATCAACATTTAACAATTCCTCAAAATATTCCCTCCATCTTCCCAATACCTCTAACTCACCATTTAATAACTCTCCTCTCCTATTTTTAACTGACACATCCATTTGTTCTCTAGGTTTCCTCAACTTGTTAATCTCACTCCAAAACTTCTTATTTTCAACAAAATTTGTTGATAACATCTCACCCACTCTCTCATTTGCTCTCTTTTTACACTGCTTCACCAATCTCTAACCTCTCTCTTTTTCTCCATATACTCTTCCCTCCTTGCATCATTTTTACTTAATAAAAACTTCTCATATGCTAACTTTTTCTCCCTTACTACTCTCTTTACATCATCATTCCACCAATCGCTCCTCTTCCCTCTCACACCCACTTTCCTGTAACCACAAACTTCTGCTGAACACACTAACACTACATTTTTAAACCTACCCCATACCTCTTTGACCCCATTGCCTATGCTCTCATTAGCCCATCTATCCTCCAATAGCTGTTTATATTTTACCCTAACTGCCTCCTCTTAGTTTATAAACCTTCACATCTCTCTTCCCTGATGCTTCTATTCTCCTTGTATCCCATCTACCTTTTACTCTCAGTGTAGCTACAACTAGAAAGTGATCTGATATATCTGTGGCCCCTCTAAAACATGTATATCCTGAAGTCTACTCAACAGTCTTTTATCTACTAATACATAATCCAACAAACTATTCATTACCATGAATAGTTTGTTGGATTATGTATTACCTTAGTGAAAAAAGTTAATAAATTCGTAAGGCAGGAATTCTCTTTCGTAAAACCATGCTGAGATTCACTGATCAATTTATGCCTTTCAAGATGGCTACAAATTGCCTTGGCAATTATTGATTCCATAAATTTTCCCACTATGGAGGTTAGCCTTATTGTTCTATATATAATTTGAAGCTAAGGGCATGTCACCTACTTTGAAAACAGGTATCACATTTGTCATTGTTCACTTATCTGGCACTATGCCAGTTTATAGTGATATGTTGAAAAGATTAGACAAAGGTTTGCTAAGCTCCTCTTTACATTCCTTTAGAACCCTTGCATACAGCTCATCAGGGCCCAGGGATTTGTTAGGTTTTAATTTATCTATTTGTCTAAGGACCATGTCCTTGTGACCTTAATTGTGCATAGTTTATTATCGTTCTATTCTACATAATTTATTACAGTAGACCATCATTTAGCATGGTAGTTGTGTTCCTGAAAATGCCGTATTAGGTAAAATCATGTTGGATGAACTTTAGAACTTAGGGGAAAAATTGGGTTATGTTCCTAGGAGCCCCCAAAAATCCAAACAATTTTTTTTAGGCCTCCACATCTTACAAAAATGAAAGTGGATATCTAGTTGTAGTTCATTGTTGTGATGTATTATGTTGTTTTTACTGCTTAAGACTATAAATGTAACAGAAATAACAGTATTTCTTACCTTAAATTGTGGGTGCTGGTGTTTGTGGATGATTGTGAAGAGAGTGGAGAGTTATGTTGTGGCCCTACTGGGCTGAGGTGGATGGTAGAGGTTCTGGTACTCAAGTCAATGGTTGTACTGGAGTGTCTAACTTTAAATCATTCAGTCAGTCAGTCAAGTCACTCAGTAAGCCAGTGAAGTCACTCAGCGAGTCAGTCAAGTCTTTCAGTCAAGTCTTTCAGCCAAGTCTTTCAGCCAAATCAGTCAGCCAAATCAGTCAGCCAAATCAGTCAGCCAAATCAGTCAGCCAAATCAGTCAGCCAAATCAGTCAGCCAAATCAGTCAGCCAAATCAGTCAGCCAAATCAGTCAGCCAAATCAGTCAGCCAAATCAGTCAGCCAAATCAGTCAGCCAAATCAGTCAGCCAAATCAGTCAGCCAAATCAGTCAGCCAAATCAGTCAGCCAAATCAGTCAGCCAAATCAGTCAGCCAAATCAGTCAGCCAAATCAGTCAGCCAAATCAGTCAGCCAAATCAGTCAGCCAAATCAGTCAGCCAAATCAGTCAGCCAAATCAGTCAGCCAAATCAGTCAGCCAAATCAGTCAGCCAAATCAGTCAGCCAATCAGTCAGCCAAATCAGTCAGCCAAATCAGTCAGCCAAATCAGTCAGCCAAATCAGTCAGCCAAATCAGTCAGCCAAATCAGTCAGCCAAATCAGTCAGCCAAATCAGTCAGCCAAATCAGTCAGCCAAATCAGTCAGCCAAATCAGTCAGCAAATCAGTCAGCCAAATCAGTCAGCCAAATCAGTCAGCCAAATCAGTCAGCCAAATCAGTCAGCCAAATCAGTCAGCCAAATCAGTCAGCCAAATCAGTCAGCCAAATCAGTCAGCCAAATCAGTCAGCCAAATCAGTCAGCCAAATCAGTCAGCCAAATCAGTCAGCCAA